GAGTTTGATTCCTCCGCCCCTCTCGGAGAGCCCGGCAAGCTACCGAGAGTATCTCGCCCGCACGGCAGAGCCTGGCAAGCTCCCCGTGACGTATTCCATATGCCAAACACAGTAACAACAAAGTCTCCAATGGAGACGTTACTGGGCCCGCTCGAGCAAATCAATGATCAACGGGAGGGCCTTTACCTTTACCTTTACCTTTACCACAAAATATTATTTTCTAGGCTTGCTATCTATACCATCACTGTCTTCCCATTGTTCATAGATTTGCTCGAGTGGGCCCAATAATGTCTCCATTGTGAGACTTGTTGTTACTGTTTTTGGCATATCGAATATATCACGGGTAGCTTGCCAAGCTTTGCCGTGAGGGCGAGATACTCTCGGTAGCTTGCCGGGCTCTTCAGATAAACACATAGGTTGGGTTGCTTCTAAGAATTTAGATTATGAAAAATGTTACAGTGACATGCTTTTATATGTTCCTTATCCTACACGTAAAAAATACTCTTTTTTTAAAAAAAGTTTTTGGGTCACACTCAGCGATGCTCAGGGGTAACTCCTGACTCTGCACTCAGAAATTCCTCCTGGTGGTGCTTGGGGAACCCTATGTGATGCTGGGGATTGAACTCAGGTCAGCCTCATGCAAGGCAGATGGCCTACCCACTTTACTATCACTCCAGCCTGTGAAAAATACTCTTATAAGATTTTTATACTTGCATTTTTCCACATTTACTAGATATTACAAAAGAACTTTTCAAAGTAGCTTGACTAACACATCATTTCATCATCAGTATATGAAAATTATTTTGTCACAAAATTTTGTACCAAATCTTGAAATTATCACACTTCTATTTTTTGCTATTTTGATACTCTGGATATTTCTTTGTTTCTCAATTTTTTTTTAAATTGAAGAAGTATTGCATTTTAATAAAGGAAATTTAAGTGGAATATCATATAGACAATACATGTATACATTAAGTTCACTAAAATTTCGATTATATGGGGCTTGGACACCTGATTCCCTCAAACAGATAAGTAGGATGGAAAATGAATCAATCAAAACAAATGATGTTGAATGATATCAGTGTTTCTGGTCCATATTTTAAAATTTGATGATATTTTTGTTAACAGAAATAGAATTTAATAACTTAAGTTTTTGTTTATATCAAGGGACTCTAGTCAAATAGATTTCACTATATATCTATTTTGCTTTAAAACGCATTTCTAAGACCCTATCTACTGAGAGCTTATTGTACATGGACATAATTTCTGTGTCCACATTATGTTTTAATTTTACATACTATTTTATATAAATGTATATGCATTTTAAGTCTACTAAGTCCCACGTATAAGGTTTATTAGATGCCTTAGTGTGTAATAAACTGCTTCAAATGTCATGTACAATATAGCATTTAGGTATTCATTGAGATTAGATAAATATCCTTTAATAAGATTGAAGTAACATCTGAAATACCTCCTCATTTTATTAGGAAGCTAAGATTTTTTAATAACAGTGTGAGATCTGATGCATAAATATATCCAAACTTAAGAATCTGAATTTAGGTTGGTTTAAGTTTAATAAAAGGTGGCTATGGTTTCTCCTCAAATGACTTTCACTTCTCCTTGAATTGTGCAGAAACTCTCACTGTTAACAGATTTTTTAAAAATTCTATGAATACAAAAGTTCAAAGAAGTTGTTTGCCTTAAATAAAGGTAGCAAAAGTGTGTTTGGTCATACCTCATAACGTTCCTTTTATACAATTGAGTAGTCAGTATAGTTTTATATTATTTGTAAACAGGACATAAAATGGTATAATGGTTCAATGAGCCTATACCTAAATAATACTATATGTGGAGAGACTGAAAGGTGTTGTGACACATTATAATTGTTTGAATTCTTAGACTGCAAACATCAGAGACTGACCCAGACAAAATAAATCAAAGTGTATGTATAATGTACTTGGGAGGTTACAAATCATTCATAAGATCATAGATTACATTTTATGGGCTGAATTATACTACCTTGAACATATACTAAAGTTACTCTTTGCCCTACTGCCCCAGACTATGAAATATATTTGAATATGGACCTTTAAAGAAATAAGGTAATGTGGGTCCTAATGAAATTGAAGTGAGATCTATATAAAAAAGGGATTAGTTGTAGACATATTCAGAGGAATTGCCATGTGAAGATAGAGTGAGATTATGGGCCTTTTCAAGCCAATTAGCTAGTCCTCAGAAGAAGGCAACCCTGTTGACCCATTGATTTTAGATATCTAGCCTCCAGAACTATGAGAAAATACATTTATATAATTTTTTCCTTATTGGGGCACCTCTGTCCTACTGGATGTCTTCCATCTCTCATGCTGTGCTCCTTCCATTTACAGTTTCAACTGCAGCTCCCTTGAGAAATGCTTTTTTAAGTCTCGTACTCTGTATTCTTTATTATGCTAGTCCTTTATATTACTGAGCAGTCAAATCTTAGAATGAGATGTTTAAGATTTTCACTCAGGGACCAAAGAGATTACACAATAGGTAAGGCATTTACCTTGCATGCAGCTGACCCAGGTTCGATCCTTGGCATTCCATATGGTTTCTGAGCACCACCATGAGTGATCCCTGAGTTCAGATCTAGGAGTAACCCTTGAGCATTGCAGGATGTGACCCAACCTCTCCCTCCCCACTCCAAAAAAAGATATTTTTAGTTACAAACATAGTTTAAAAAGTTATTTCAGGTTACTGGCAGAATTTTCTAATACTCTCTGAAGCCTTATACAAATTCCAGGAGAAAGAAGTTGATTGGCTAAGACTGAGGAACCCATCCTCCTCCTGAACAGGCCAAAAATGATTATCTTGGTTTTACAACTGCATGAAAACTGCATGAAATACTAAAATAATGGAACCTAAATATTATAGTATCTTCTACTATAGTATTCACATGTTTTTGAATGTCACACTGAAAGAAGATCAAGCATTGAGTTCCCAAGTCCACAAGCAAGGGGATGTTGTGAATGTATTAAAACCAGACAAAAAGTTCTCGTGTCTGCAGACTAATGGGAGGATGGGGCATAGTAGAGATAGATGAGAGGAAAGGAGAGATAGAGAGAAGCCTTATTTTCTAGAAATGGTTTCACTGGCTCTAGAAGATTTTTAATTTTGTATTTAACTCTTATTCCAAATGTGAAGTCATTATAGTTTTCATTCAGACTGCTTTCATAATTATTTGCAGTATTTATAAGTATATATATACATATGTTACATTTGGATTATACCAGCGTGAACAAGAAACAAGGAGGTAAGATGCATGGTTAGGAAGATGCAGGTGTTCTAATTGTACTGAGTAAGATGCTAAGACTGAAGCAGAAACACAAGACTTGATGAAATGTTGGTCAGATTCAGTACATTCTTTCAAGGAAAAGTTCAGGGAATTTAGAGAGTAGTCAACTATTAAGGAGAGAAAAAGAAAGAAATTGCTCAGTTTGATAATTAAGTGAATTATGTATAGTTCACTGAGAATCTAAGGATCCAGTGTTGGATATATAGTGGGTTTTTGATAAGAAATTAAGAGGGCAGTATTGACTCTGCTAATTTGAGATGTCTGTCCTCTAGTTTAAAAAGAATGGTCAACTAGGCTGAATATGAAGTAAATAAGACATGTTCATAAATTAAATTCAGTGAGGTTAAGAGACAGAGGAGCCTGGGAAATGAGCTTAAGAGTTAGATGTAAAAATGTGATTAGTATAAAAGAAAATATTTTTTAGAACTGTGGAAAGCTTCTCCCCAAAAGAGAGTCATATGTAAATAGAGTTGAAAAGTTAAATATTTGAGGGGGCCGGAAGGATAGTACAGCAGATAGGGCGTTTGCCTTGCACACGACTGACCCGGGTTCGATCTCTGGCATCCCATATGGTCCCCCAAGCACAGACAGTAGTAATTCCTGAATGTAGAGCCAGAAGTAACCCCTGATCATTGCTGGGTGAGACCCAAAAAGCAAAACATAAAAAATAAGATAAAAAGTTATATATTTGAATGTAGGGTAGTATAACAGATTTTCGTGCTGAATTCAGTTGACATAATAGAGCGACGAGAGACAAGATTTTCCTTGAACTGGTGACGTGGCATTGACTTCGTGTGCTACAATTGATCTTATCAGTAGCAGGAAACAGCTTGATCACAGCTACAAGAATGGGAGCAGACTATTTTAGTTCAGCACCAGTGGAATCATGTATTAGTGGGAAAATGAAGTAATTGTTTCTTTTAAGTAAAGAAAGGGAGCAAATGAACCAACCATCTTGGAATGAGTCAGAGGGAGAGGATATTGAATGACAGGGCAACTATGTGAAACAGTCCGCATAAAAAAAGAGCAGTTTTACTCAGAAATTCAGTGTGATTGTCAGGTGGTACTGAGCCCTCTTAAGAGCTGTGGTCATAAATTTAAGCTGAGATATTGGCACTTGCTCTATTCACCTCTGCAAATGCAAGAGCTTGGTATATGGAGGAATTGGATTAAACAGGGTTGAGATGTTTTCCGTAGAATCTGATGGAGGACCACAGGTCTAAGAAGTAGAAGATCACATTAAAGGGAGAGCAAACTTTAAAAAAAAATTGTGCCACAACTAGTCAGGACTTACTCTAAGCCCAGAATCACTCCTGGTGGGCTTGCGATTACTGTATTGAGTGCCAGGGATAAACCAGAGACGACCATGAACAAGGCAAATGCTCTACCCACTGTACTATCTTTCGGGCCCTGGGAGATCAAACAATTGGCAGTAAAATGCATAATGGGTAAAAGAAAAATGCACGGTCCTCAATTTGCTAAGAACTAAAAGCAATTCAAGAGTTATTACAGTACAGCCTGAAGCTACCAAAGCCCATAATGCAGGATCCTTCCTTCAGAAATGTCCACCTGTCTGCTCTGCACAGCATAGAGACATGTGTTGATTCCTGCATCTTTACTAAAATCAAATAATTGAGTATTTATTTTAATTTTCTTTTTTTAAAATCAGGGGAGAGTACAAGTGCAGTCCTCCACTACCACAAATTATGCAGTCGATTTTCTAACATTTGGGTGAATCTCAGAGGTCAACACATCTGGAATGCAATAGATAAATCACACCCTGAGGAAAATACCTTTGTGATCATGGTATCTCCTTGCCTGGTAAGTATTTGAGTAGCGCTGTAGTACTCTCCTCCCGTTGTTCATCGATTTGCTCAAGCAGGCACCAGTACTTACATTAAATAGAATATTCATGTTAGGAACTGTGTTGCAAGCAAAATGGTAGACGTTGAAGAGACCAAAAAATTCATAACTGTTGAACTTGAAGAATAAACATGAAAATATTTGTTTTACTCCAGGCAGAAAGCCAATTAGTTACGTTTTTTACCATAACAGTATATGGTATGACTATAGAAATGTCTTTATTACTGTAAAAAATTGCTTTCATGAGATTAATTCTCTAAGACACATAAATGTTTCCTTCCATTGAAATAATTTAAGACCCAGTTTCAATGCAGTGAACTGTAATTATTGCAACACACTATAGAATAATAGATAGGAGTTTCATGAATTAAGTGAATAAAAATTACCTTCGCAGTAACCAAATGCTTCTTTTATTGTATCATATGCAGTCATTCTGGAGACACCTTATCACTTTTCATTATGTCTTCATAATGAAATGAGAGCTTTTAGTGGATAATATTCTAATTTTTGCAAGATTAAACTGTAAAAATGGAAGGTAGTGTTAATAAGATATGAATTAATCTGAGGTCTGTTTGCAAAATTTGAGAATTTATTTAACAAGAAGAACACCTTCATAGTTAAAATTTTCCATAGCAACAAAAAGAAATGTTCATTTATAGTGATAGCAGTAGAGTGAAATATTATATAAGTAAATAAGCCTATTAAAATAAGGTTTTAAATAAACATAGATAAAAATATTAAACATTTTAATCAGTCTTCTAAATCAAGATTCTTCTTTTGTATTTATGCAAGTTGACATACATAGTAATTTTGTATGAATTTTATAATTATATAATAACTAAGGTAAAGGTAAAGGCCCTCCCGTTGATCATTGATTTGCTCGAGCGGGCCCAGTAACGTCTCCATTGGAGACTTTGTTGTTACTGTGTTTGGCATATCGAATATTATATAATTTTATAGTATTTTATATGAATAAAAAGTAATTAAAATATTATTGGCATAAAAATTGATGATATGCCTTATCTTTGTATTTTATTTTTTATTGGTATTGAAGTATCATAGTCATAATAATGGATGTTCTTGGTATAATCCTTTGCTGTACATTACCACCACCAAAATACCAAAGACTCTCTCTTACTATACTTGTATCTCTTCTCGTCCCTCCCTTTCTCCTCTACTCTCCTTCATTCTCCCCACCTGAACATGGTCACTTCAATTTTGTTGTGAAAGTTTAATAGTTAGATTTCATTGTCCATACCCTTGCTTTGTTTCTTTATATTCCATGTAGGAGTGAAAGTGTGTTCTATTTTTCCTTCTTCCTCTAACTTGACAATTAACATGACCTATTAAGACAGGACATGTTCTTTACTTAATATGGCACATGGCACCCTCTAATCCAAGTGGAGTAAAAGGCAAGATTCTATCCTTTTGTACAGTCGAGTAGTATTCAATTGTACACACACACACACACACACACACACACACACACACACCCCACCCAGACATATATCACTATTTATCCATTCATCTGTCACTGGGCTTTTAAATTGTTTCTAGATTTTGGTTACTGTAAAAAGAAATGCTACAGTGACCATAGGTATGCATTTATTTTTTTATTTTTATGAACTACTGGGTTCTTTGTTCTATTGGGTGGATGCCAAGAAGTTGAATCACTGGGTTGAATGGAAGCTCTATTTTAAATTTCATGAGAAATCAAGAAACTCTTCTGTTTTCATAGAGGCTGAATCAGATCATGTACCATCAGTAGTGAATGAGTGTTCTTGTCTCAACATATCCCTGCCAACACTAGTTGTTTCTAGCCTTTTTGATGTGTGACATTCTTACTGGTGTGAAGTGATATCTTGTTATTTTGATTTGCATTTCCCTGACATTATGTGATGAAAAACACTTTTTCCATATGCCCGTTGGTCATGTATATCTTCTTTAAGGAAGTATCTGTTCAGCTCCTCTTTCCATATTTGTGATGATATTTTTTATTGTTTCATTGTTTAGTGTTAAGAGTTCTTTACCTTGGATATTATCTGTTTTTCAGATGTATGTTGCATACGTATTTTCTCCCATGAGTAGGATGTTTTGATTTTTAGTCAATGTTTATTTTATGGTGTGGAAACTTTTCAGTTTTCTGTAATTCCATTTGTTTATTTTTTCTTTTGTTTTCTTTGTCATTTGGAGCAAATAATTGTAGATTCCTCTGAGGTTAACATGAAGAAGAGTTCTGCCTATGGATTAAATCAACTTAAATAATTTTGGTTTGGGGCCAGATCCAGAGGTACTCGGGTCTTACTTTTGGCTCTGTGCTTAGGATCACTCCTGATTGTACTCAGAGGACTATATGGGATGCTGGGGATTGAACCTAGGTCACCCATATGCAAGGCAGTCAATCTCCGGAATGGCATATTTTCCCATGAGCACCATTAAGAGTTGTCTTTGGGCACAGAGCCAGGAGTAAGCCTTGAGCACAACCAAGTATTGGCCAATACCCCTCCTCAGCTTTTTTTAATTAGAAATTAAATTATATATTACTTTGACTTATTCCAGAGTATCAGATAATAATTTACAAAAAGTCATCTGTATATGATAAAAATTAAGTCTCTTTCTTAAGTCACTTAGGGATTCTTTATTTCTTGGAAAGCACTCAAACTGTTAGGAGTCAGATTCAAGACTTCCCAAAAGAGTTCACACAACTAAGGTTTAAGCATTGTTATTTTACACCTACAGTTAAGTAGTAGAACAGGGCAGTGACACATTTCTGTACAGGGTATTACTTTTCATTATATGCTTTAGATAATTTAGGTGAGATATTTTTTATTTAAAATGGTTTGGTTAAAAAAATAAAATGGTTTAGTTTATGAATATAGCTCCACCTCCCATGCACCTCTAAGTATAGCCATTGGAGGTTCCCAAATACTTGGCCCCTTTTAGCCAGAGCAGCACCTCATTCTTGGACTCTAGCATGGAACTCTCTGGCCCAGTTGGCTGAGTTTTGCTGGGCGTAGCCCCTGTGTCCTCTAACCACTTCTTAGGAATCACCCCAATGTTCCTGCAAAAAAAGAGTTTAGTTTGCCTGATACCTGATTACAGATTATGTTCCAATCCAAAAGGAACACCCTTTTGAGACTAGAAATCTTCCCATTTCTTTTGTATTGAGGTAGTCTATCATACCTTTTTGACTAGATCTTCTTCCACATCTTCCTCATGTTGGTATTATCATTAGTAGGATTGTTGTAGATTGTCAGCTACATAGAAAGATTGTCTGTCTGTCTCTCTCTTTCTCTCTCATCTGCCCTCCCTCCCTTTCCCTTTACTTTTTCCTTTTTTGTATTACTGTCTATGGTTCTAAAGTCTTTAAAAGGTCAGAAAAAACTGCTGTCAATTTCAGTTCATTATTTTGTACTCTATAGCACTTGTTTAACTATGATGGAGTTTTGCACTATTTAATTTCACTTCATAATGTAAGTAAGTATTTGATGTATATCTGATAAAATGATGATGAATGAATTTCCAGTCCATAGACTTAACAAGAAAAATATAAATTAAAAGAGGGTGTTTTAAGTTGCTGATTTCAGGGCCTGAGAGATAGTATAGCAGATAAGGAGTTTGCCTCATGCAACTGACGTGGGTTCAATCCCGTTGGCACTCCACATGGTCCCCTGAGTACTACGAGGAATGATCCTGAGTGCAGAGCAAGGAGTAAGACTTGAGTATAGCCAGGTGTGACCCAAAACCAAAAAACCCACAAAATATTGTTGATTTCAAAATCTGACTGCAGAATTCAAACTTTCTAGAACTTAATTATGGTCACATCACTGATATTTGGGTGGATGAGAAGAGAAGAAAATGTTGCCCATAGAAAGTCTTTCCACTTATCTGAGGCACATGGTAAATTCTAGAAAACAGAGGGAAAAACGATTAGTATCTGTAAAAAAAAAAAAAAGATTATTTTCTCTACCCTGATAGAAGTTTGTATCTCTTAATTGTAATACTTTTGTATCAGAACTCACTGTTGAGCCATTTTTCTTCTGCAGGTGGAATAATTGTTTTCTCTGTTAATGAAGTATGTTACAACATGATGTTCTTTCAGAGTTTTGTGATAAATCTCACTATTACATTTGAACATCTATATTTTTCAAATTCTTCTAATATTTTCCAGGGTTAGTCAGCGCTCTTTTCGCAGACTTTACCACAACATCTTTGCCTGGCAACAATTAAGTAAATTATACCTGTAACAATGATAGGACTTTTAGGGCTTGGGTACAGTGAGATAATTCAGGTAAGTCAGGCTGAAATATTCTGGGATATATTTTTTTTCTCTTCGGATGGAAATGAAATGGAAAGGAAAGAACTTTTGTTCTGGCAGGGAGGGGAGTGATAGTTTTCAAGTATTTCTCAATTCCATTTTCCTTTCAAATTCACAGTAATTGGGGTAGAATTCTTGCCAGTATGTCAGGGGAGTGGCTTCAAATGAGAGCAACAAGGAAGGAAAGTTGTCCGAAAGGCAGAAATTGGGAAGGTAGAAAGCAAGCATCTCTACAATCTTTTGCTTGATTTATATTCAGTCTACTTTTGAATATGTTTTGGCACAAAAACTTCTTTTTTTTGTGCTTCAGAAGAGACATGGATTTCAGAAGACACAATTTTTACATGAAAATTCTATATACTCAGTTTTACCAATATAATTCTATCAAAAGAAGTGTCTTGGTAAAGTGTCTAAAATCACTCAGATATGTGCCAGTCCCTTCAGGAAGTGATGACACTTGGGATATTTTGGTACTTTCTGTGTCCTTTCAGTATTGAGAGCATGGGAACAGCATTTCAGATGCCCAAATCTCACTGCTTCTCTTCCTGTTCCTGAAAATGTCATTCTTAACAGATACATTCAGCCTAAAATGTGTCACTAGGCCTCAGTTTGATCTAAGGATGTTTCATGGAATAGTCTTTGATGCTG